CATATTACTGTTGTTTTCTAAAAATTTTTTTCCTTTGGTTAGTAACAAAAAAAAAAGTTTTGGTAACTGTTGAAGATAATCTTTTGCCAACAAACAGCAGCAAAGGTTTTAAAGGCTGAAAAACAAAAAATAGACGGTGGAGGTTGATAACTTTAATTAATAGGTTTTTTTATCAGCATTTAATTGTTGAGAGAAGTGTTAAGAGTTTTTATATCATTTTAAAATTTTGGGCAACAAGAGTCCAGTTTCTGAATTGCTGTCAGAAAACAGTTATAAAAATGCAGCAATTAGGGGATTTTTTTTGTCAAAAATGTATTGAAGATGTCGAAGATATGGGAAATTTTTGTTGTTTTTGTTCAATCAAATCTTTTGTACCTTTTGTTAGGTCAAAATTAAGAACAAAAAAAAAAATGTTTTTTTAAAGTGCTTTTTTATAATACAGTTAGGTTCTTTGAAAAAAAAAAATTGATGACAACGGTGAATGTCATAGACCTTTGGTACGAATCAGTGCTGTAAACTATTTGTAATCTTAACTGACTTTATTCGTCATTTCACCATACAAATACTGTACGAACAACTACTTTTTCGTTGACAGATACTTAGTGGTGTTCATGTTTGACACAGCTTATAGGGTAATCATTGGTACACGAAACGTGTTGATCAATGATTGTTGTTCAATAGAAAAATTATGACTGCTAAGGCAGCAAAAAAGGAAAAAGCGTCAGGCTAGAAATATAGAACTGAATGAAAAGTTATCATTTCTGCACTAAAGTTTACTGGAAAAAATCACTGAAACTATTGCATTTCAAATTATAAACGACAATAGTTATATTAATGTCGTTGATATCGGTCAGATATTAGTCAATAAGTTAGTCAGTCAAAGTTGTAGATGAAAAATGGCAAAAAATTTTTTTTTGGATATTTATACTACCTATTCAGATTGTATAAAATACTTTTCTCTTTTCCTTTCACCAATTTAACTGTTATAACTAAAATCAAACGCTTACAGTTGTATGCTGATTTCCTATTTTGTCTTTAATTTGTAGGAAAAATTTGATAATTTATCATCGACTAATCGCTGTACATCACGTTTTACATATGTTGGTGACGAAATTTCTTCAATGCCTAATGACACACCGGAAAAGAATAAAGGTTTTTATTTCAAAAGTTTTTTCCGTCTTTTCCTTTTTTTTTTCTCTTCCCGTTGTTATTTACTATACGTAATGTTGTTTTCACAGTTTTCATTACAACGATGAATAAATTTTGATGAAGAAGTTTGAAAATGTCTTTTTTTCTTTTCTTTTGAGATTTATACACAAATTTATACGGGAATCTTTCTGGCAAATAATTGTTGCTAATTTTGCTGTTCAAATATTTCTTAGCATAATGCATGCCGTAGATCAGAGCTGTTGTTGACGGCAAAGGCGTGGTAATTTTTGCACTTTGTTGACTTTTTGGCCAGTTATCATCAGCATTATCAGAATCTGATTAAAACCGGACGATTGTCGTGCTCATAGTTGCTTGTACTTTTACAGGTCCATTGAACAATACATCAAACGGATTCTGTGCTGGTTCATCGGTGATGAGCGACAGCATTTACGACAATGTTCAGGGATTTCGTCGACTACAGTGTTGTGATGGAGAAAATGAGCTGAGCAGCTTCGACTACGATACTTTAGAAGGTTCTATACAGTTTTATCGTTTTTCTTGTTTTATATATTTTGTTCAAGCAGCTTTTTCTCTTCATTGTCATCTGTCCGCCATTTTAACAACCATATGACAGATGTTGAATAAAAACGCGTAACTTTTTACTACAGTATATTGTTGCAAAAAGTTTAAATTATTTATTAAAGTTTTTTTCTGAAGAAGAATAAATAGACATAACAAATATGGCAACAAACAACAAACCGACGACTGGAAGAAATAAGAAGAAAAGAATTAAAAAAGAAGTCGTTGTCTAAACTTTCTTTTTTTGATCAAAAGTGCTTTTTTCTTCTCCTTTCCCATCTTTTTTTCTACCTCTGATGGAAACTGATAAGAGGTGGGGAAAGAGCACAAAGAGGACGTTGAAAAAGCAAGAAATGTGTGGAAGTTTTGTAGTCAGTATTGATTCATTCATATACAGCTTTTTGGTATGCTTTTACATATTTTGGCTTGTTTTCCACCTGTAGTCTTTAAAGTCTTTGGAATGAGGTTTTTGTTTTGCTCTGTTTCAACTATGAGCCAAATTTTTGCTTTATATTTGCTGACACGTTGGTAGCGACACTAAGGTCTAAGGCAAAAGCGCTTAACGACCAATATTTTTAATTAGATTTATGTAGCAGATGTTTTTTCTTTTTTTTCTTTGCTTTCAAGTTTTTGACATTATATTCCGTTAAAAAAAAAAGAGGAAAACACAAAAAAAAATTAGAATTGGAATTGTAGCTGAAAAAGAAGTCTGTCTGTGAAATGAAAGGAGAAATATAAATTGTCTTAACAAACCTACTAAGACTGTTTTATTAAGATTTTTATATCTGAGGAAAATGGTATTGTGTTTTTGTTTTGTACGGCTTTGGCTTTTTTTTTTTTTTTTTTTTTTTTTTTTTTT